ACCTGCTCCCACATATTTACAAATATGAGCAAGCCAGCCTAGGAGAGTGTTCAGCAACGAGTTCTTTTATGAAACAGGCCTCTTCTGTCTTCCCAAGGAAGACCGGCACAGGCAGCGCTGTGGACAGATATCCCTCATCCTTCCTCACTGCTCTAGTCTCGGACTCGCTGGCACGCAATAGACTGAAAACTCACCTCGAGACTTCTAACTCCTAGCGACCCTATAAGACAGAGTAGACCTGCCCCCGTGGGTTTCTGAGACTGTAACTGTTTACAGGAGTAGAAAGCCTGTCCTCCTATGGAGCACCTGCTGGTTTCGAACTGTGGACCTTGCAGTCAGCAGCCCAGTGTGTAACCACTAAGCCACCATGGCTCCTCCCTGACACACACAGGAGCTGTGAAACATCCCCCACAAGATCCAACCATGTTTTTATCTCACTTCCCACAAGCCCTGGAAGCTCCTTCCTACCACCAATCCCCGATTTTAGGAGTGCTGGCATTCTCTACGTGGATGGTCTTGAATACCACCAGCAAGGAGGCTGTTAGATTCCTGAAGCGGCCGTCCTGTTATTAATGAAGCCCGCGGCCATCAAGTCCATATTCTGACCCAGAGGCCTCATGTAGGGTTTCCAAGACTGCACATGGTGACGCAAGCACGCCGCCTCATCCCTCGGAGCGGCTGATGGGTTTGAATGGTCAGCCTTGCACTTAGTGGGCCAGCACCTCGCCTCTCACCCCTTTACCATAAACTAGTGACTATTTAACGAGACACTGAGAAACGACAGGTGGTATCTCTGTGAAGATGGAAGACAAAGGTGGGAGAATCGTCTTTCAGGGGCTCTGTGGTTCCACATCCAGATTGAGGATCAGCCTAGAGCAGAGGTCCTCAAACTACGGCCCGTGGGACACATGCGGCCCACTGAGCACATTTATCCAGCCCGCTGGGTGTTTTTGCTGGCCACTGCTGCCTGTCCTGCTTAGCAGCCAACTCGTCCAGTGTGCATAGGAATTTGTTCATAGTTTTTTTTTAAAACTATAGTCCGGCCCTCCAACGGTCTGAGGGACAGTGAACTGGTCCTCTGTTTAAAAAGTTTGAGGACCCCTGGCCTAGAGAAATCACCTTTCCAAAGGTAATGTAAGATGTGCCAGGGGCAGGTTTTCCTAAGTGCCTCTGCCTGCGAGGGCCACACTCCCCGCCCCCAGCACTTAATTAGACGAAATACACTCCTGTGTTCATAGCGGAGGAAATGCAAATGCCGAATAAACAGATGATGGAAAGATGTGCGACTCCATTAAGGAGGGGGGTATGCAAATGGCGATAATGAGCCACCACGATTCCCAGGCTGATTAACCAAAACCACAGAGACACATGACTTCCAGGGCTCCAGAGGAGGTGGAGGGCGGCCGTGGCTCAAGCGGGAGATGGGAGCTCAAATTGAAAAACAAAAAACAAAC